ACCCGTGAACTTGGGTGCGCGCTTCTTGAAGTTGGCGTCGGAGGCGGCCCATTGTTCGTAGAGCTGGCCAAGATTAGGCGCGAGGTTGAAGTAGTGCTTTATGAGAGCAGCCGTGTCGTCTTCCTCGGGGGCGACTGAGGGCGCTTTGGAAGGAGGCGGAGTAGGAAGAGTGGTGGTGACGGGCGGATATGTCGCGCGGTAGTGGAGATGTTCGGCATCTTGACGGAGGGAGAGTATGCGACCATGGAGAGCCATGGACCACACGTCATCAGCTGACTTGCGCCATCTGGTCGCACGTTAGGAGATGTTGCGACTCGAGTACTGAGACAGGGGAACGATACCTGAATGATTGTCCACATCGCAAAGTCGTGTTGATGCATAGCTCAGTGAGGCTAGTAGGCAACTTGTGCCACTCAGCAGCGCGTAAAGCCATTGTCGTTATAGTCGGGGTCTGCGCCAGGAGTGAATGATGCATCATGGTCTGGCCTCGGTGACAGGGGTAAGGCGCCAAGGGAACGGCGCGCTAAGGCAGGCCCCGACTTTCTCTCACACGTTTTCCGCGACGGCAACCGCAACCACCGCACAAGCATCGCGTCCTAGAGCCGGGACTGTTGCGATTTGCTGATTCATCCACTGTTTCTTGATCAGATCTGCTAATTGCAGCTTCTCCCGCTATCTCACTCCCGACAGCAGCAGCATCTTACGCGGCTGAACACCCGACGGCGCAAGAGCTCCTAGCAGCCACACCCGCCCACCATGAACGGCGATAGCTATTCCAGAGGTAAGCGAGTCTATCAGTACACGTACTGACTAGTGCACAGCTCCCAGAATCAAGACTAACAAAAGCAGACGGTGGCCGATCCAGCGGATCGCGCAACTACGTGAGTGCCGACACTCGTCGCGACAAAAGCGAGCGTACGCTGACAGAACAGTCCTCGAGAGATGACCATCGCGATCGCGGTGAACGGGGCGACCGTGGTGGCGACAGGCGCCGCCGTCGCTCCCGCTCCCCACGCCACGGCGGAGGCTCCCGCCGCGACTACGAGGTAGACACGTACTCTTCCAGCCGCGACTACCGTGAGCGCGAGCGCGAAGACACATACGCCCGCCGTGAGCGTCGCGATGACCGGGGCGAGCGTGGAGCAGAGCGTGGTGCCGAGCGCGGTGCCTGGGGCGATTCCTACTCCCGACGCGACCGACCTCGAGGAGGAGACCGCGACCGTGACGACGACCGTGGCCACCGACGAGAACGCGGAGACCGCAACGAAAGGGGCGGCGACCGATTTGGAGGCGAAGAGCGCAGAGGCGGACGGGGAGGACGTGACGGAGGCTTTGGCGGCGGACGTGATAGGATGCGTGCGCAAAAAGAGGAGTCTCCGCCCTTCAACAAGCCGCGCGAGGCTACCCCCGATCTCACCACCTTCACCAACATCCAGAAGCGGGAGCGTCGCATGACCCAATGGGACATCAAGCCAGCAGGTTACGAGAACATCACCGCCGAGCAGGCCAAGCTGTCGGGCATGTTCCCGCTGCCGGGAGCTCCTCGCGCTGCGCCAATGGACCCGTCCAAACTCGCCGCCTTCATTTCGCCCTCCGCAGGAACCGCAACCGCTGCCGCCCTCGCAACATCTGGTGCGAAGCAGTCAAAGCGTCTCTATGTACACAACCTGCCCCAGGGCTGCACTTCTCAGGAGATTATGGAGTTCTTCAACAACCAGCTCAATGGTCTCAACGTCGTCTCTGGCAACGACCCTTGCCTGTCTGCCCACATCGCTACCAGCAAGGAGTACGCCGCATTGGAGTTCAAGGCAGCCGAAGACGCGACTCTCGCTCTCGCTATGAACGGCATTTCCATGCGCGATGACGGAGGCGCACCTGATAGGTCGGGTTTGTCTATCCGCCGTCCGAAGGACTACATTACTCCCACGGCCGACGAGAACGCATACCCGCCTGGCGACGAGGTTTCATCTGTTGTCAAGGACAGCCCCAACAAGCTGAGCATCGTCAACATACCAACATACATCGAGGAGGAGCAGATTCGAGAGCTCGTCGAGACCATGGGCAAGCTCAAGGCCTTCACTTTGGTCAAGGACACCGGCACCGACCAGCACCGCGTAGGCATCCTCCTAACCCACTGAAACTACTGAACTAACACAGCCCAGGGTATTGCATTCTGCGAGTATGCTGACAACGGAGTCATCGACGCCGTTATCGAAGGTCTCAACGACATCCCACTCGGTGATGGTAACCTCAAGGTCTCGCGCGCAACTGTCGGACTTCAGCAGACGACTGGTCTCGACGGTGGAGTTGGCGCTATCTCAATGTTGGCAGGAGCCAGCGCTGCTGAGAACCACGAACACAGCCGTGTCATCTGCCTGATGAACATGGTCACCTCGGACGAGCTGCTCAACGATGATGAATACGAAGGTAAGCTCGGCAACATCACATGAAACATTGCGCACTTCTAACATCAAACAGAAATCAAGGAAGACATCGAAGAGGAGTGCGGCAAGTACGGACCCATTATCGAGACCAAGATCCCCCGCCCCGCTGGTGCCCGCGTCAACCTCGGTGTTGGCAAGATCTACATCAAGTACAAGGACACAGAGTCTGCGCAGAAGGCTATCAAGGCGCTTGCCGGTCGTCAGTTCTCCCGGAGAACGGTTGTCGCGACAGAGTTCTCTGAGGAGGGCTTTGACGTTGATGCCTGGTAGATACGAGATTGTTTGAGTTGCGCGTTCGACTTCTTCGGGTCTGTGCAGTTGCACGCCATTATTGCCGCGTTGACGAGTACCAAAAAGGGAGAGTGAAGCTCAGCATTTGTACACTAATTTGGTTCCAGGGGATGTTAGTATGCCCATCGCTGAGGTGGTACGAGTATGTGGTCGTATCTTGAATACCTAGGCTAGAGTGCCAGGCGCTTAAAGTAGCTTGCCTAGATATCACACCGCATTGTTATTGCACTCGATGAATTTGCCATGCGAACACTGTTTACCGTTTAAAAAACTGGTGGCCTGAACCCGCTGCGGCACTGTTGGACCGCCCGTGAGATGATGATGAATTGGAGCTAATTCCGCGTTAATGCCGTAGCTGCCGTCGCTAAGCCCGACGCTACTGAAGATCAGAGAATCGTTTGGTCCGTCACGGTCCTATGTGGTTCGTTGCACTCCACAGTAGCTTGTTCTGGCGTGAGTCTCAAGGATGCTGCCCAGGAAGGTCTGGAACTCGGTGATATCATATCCCAAGAATATACCCTCTCGGTGCGGGACGGAGGGATTGAAAGCGAAACCCCGCGTGCCGTCAAGGTGCGCGCTTGCCCTAGTCAAGCGCGACCTTCAAGCCCACCGTGATATCACGACGTTAAAAGCGCAGGAGCGCCCTCAACATCGAAAAGCTTCATCACCTCTTCCGCCCAATACCTCCCAGGCTCGTAGCCCAACAATCATCATGGCGAGCATCAGGCGATTCTTCTACTCCCAACTTTTTGTTACGCCATCCAAGCCCACCGGCGACCTAACTGGCAAGACTGTCATCGTCACTGGCTCTAATGTCGGTCTTGGAAAGGAAGCCGCACGTCACTTCACCCAGCTCAATGCCTCCACCGTCATTCTCGCCGTGCGCTCCATCGAGAAAGGCGAGGCAGCGCGCAAGGACATCGAATCAACCACAGGCCGCAGCAATGTAGTCAAAGTCATGCAACTCGACATGTCATCCTACCAGTCCGTTCTCGATTTCGCCCAGAACGCAAGCAAAGAGCTAGAACGAGTGGACATCGCAGTCCTCAACGCCGGCGTAACCCGCGCCGCGTGGGAAGTTTTCGAACAAGACGAGTCCACCATTACCGTGAACGTTGTTTCCACCTTCCTGCTGGCTTTTGCGTTGTTATCCAAGCTCAAGGAGACGGCAAGCAAGTTCAACACCAGACCCACGCTTACCATTGTGAGCTCCGAGGTGCACGAATGGGCGACCTTCGACGAGACGAAAGCACCCGAGGGCAAGCTCTTCGAGAGACTGAACGAAAAGGTCGTTAATGGGAAGGATGTTAGCCTAAACAACCGGTATCAAGTTAGCAAGCTACTCGAGGTACTCTTTGTTCGCGCATTCTGCGAACGTTACCCCGAGTCGCAAATCCCAGTCACCGTCAACCTTGTTAACCCTGGCTTCTGCCACTCGTAAGTTTACCGTACACCCCTTCACTAATTGTCTTATGCTGACCGGTTAAAGTGAATTCGGTCGCGAAAATGGCATTGCCGTCGCAATTGGACGCTTCCTGCTTGCGCGAAAAACGGAAGTCGGGTCGAGGACTCTCACGCACGCTGGTATCTCAGGCGTTGAGACGCATGGGAAGTATCTCAGTGATTGTGAGATTACGGAGCCGAGTCATTATGTGCGGAGTGAGGAGGGCAAGAGGGATCAAGAGCGGGTTTGGAAGGAGCTGACAGCGAAGGTGGAAGGTATTAAGGCTGGGATTACAGAGAGCTTTTAGGGCGGTGATACAATGAATCGGCTTTTGAACTACATGAGCTGCAGTCTGTGACGCACAGAGCTCACTTCAACTGGCACAGGCACTTTTGGCTGGGTATACTCGCCTGTATTTTTGAGTTAACCCCCTTGCAAAGTCCCGACATCCACCTGTTCTACGCACACACACGCTCAACCGAGAGCTCAGGTCTATAGCCATGGCCACCGGTATGAATACTGACCATCGGGTACTTATTGGAGGAAATGAGCTGGTTGGAACGTTTGGATGGGGTGGAGAAGTGGGTTAGGTGCTACTTTGATCGGTTGCGAACGCACAGGCCTGTTTGGGAGTTCGAGGAGTAATCATGCCCAGGTGCAGTCTTCGAGCTTAGCGTTATTAGTGCAAAGTATGTTGTAGGGCCGAAGTCTTGCAACGAAGGCTTTCATGTATTGCACTCGGCTACCGATCACTACATGTAAATTATCAACACTCCTGCTTAGTCGCACTTTACAGTGGTCTCTCTGACAGCTGCAGTACTTCAAAGATCGATCTCAGTCGCAGGTCTAGCAATGTTGGCACGCCAGTGGTGCGCGTTTATCGCGTTCTTCTGGTAGACGTTGACTTCGAAGAACTTATTGTGAGCCGCACACTTGAAGTTCTTGAACCTATGGCAGTGTTAGAAATGGCTTTTTGCGCCTATTTCCTTGTTCTTACGTGTTCAGCTTTTCGAAGTTCGCATCGACAAGCCACTGCTCAGTCACCTCGACGAAAGCACCATCAGAGCCAGTGACGAAGTATCGTTTGCTGTCGAGTGGGCCGTAGTTGGTTTGCTTGACAACTTGAATTGCAAATGTAATGTCGGTCGCAGACGGCGCTGTGTCGGATGACATGATGTCGCTTTCCTTGGGGTAGGTGGCCCACGCCATGAAGGTCTTGAACTTGGGTTCATGGGACAGAATGCGGTTCCTGTATCCCTGAGTGTTCGCACAACAGAAGATGGAAGACATGACTGGCAATCTGAGTCTCGATCAGATTGTGGGTGAGTTTTTGCCCGTGGTGGAATGATGAGCTTCGCGAGAAACCTGTTGCATTTATGGTTGTGCAGTGTTCGATGAGGACCAATCAACGACATATATGCACACTTGAGGCCTACCGCCTGCGCTACTGATCTCTGACCCTTTGAGAGGAATTCTTTGACTTCATCTTGCATGAGCTTGGTCGCACTGAGCCTGAAACTACCTAGGTAACTTCTGGGTGAGCGATTTGGTTGCAGGTGGGTCTTGCGCGTCGACACATTCCTCTGAACACCTAGGATATTCAACATGAAGCCCCCATGTATGGAGCCTACTAGGTCTTCCATGTGGTCCGACTAGCGGCATTCCGTCACTGCGTACTTGTTGCTCATCCATGCTATCAAATGTGAGTGGATCTTGCTGTGACATGCTGCATACACGGTATTAAACCTTAAGAAGTGAGTAATCCCCAAGATCATGTATACTTTGAACTTTGTGGCTACAATGTAAAATGTGACACGGAGTGTAGTAACCCTGATGATACCTTGCGGAGACAGGGCTGTGATTCGCGAGAGAAAGGTGGGGTCGGGGATGTCCAACGGCGACCCCACTTCTACTGCATTGTCGCATGCATCAGAAAATCATCGATAGGCTCTGATCACTCGAGGCCTACCAAATTGTGTTTAGCTAATCAGCGCTCAGTCGGTCTGATTATCGAACATATAACTGCCCTCAACTCTTCAGTTCTTTTTGCTTTCTTTCCTCACCGTGGGGCCTGTGGCCGCCAGAGCGTCCATTCTTTTCCTGTTCCTTTCCATCTTCTCGCATCGCTCTTCTTCGTCTGTTCTGCCTCTCTGGGAGCCTGGAGCGTACCCTCGGAACACAGGAAAGCCACCGCTACACTCTCGTCGTAGCGTTTAATTTCCGGATCTAGAGCAAGCACCTTTCGAGACGAAGATTTACACGAACATCACCTTTTTATTGATCCGCGCTTGCTTGACCTTCGGGTAAACCCGACCTGTGTTCCGCCAGCGAACCAGCCTTCCCAGTACCCGCAAAGCGAAGAAGAGCAGCAACCACCCGAGACAGATGGACTCCCTCCTTTACCCGATTGCTTAGTATATTCCCCACGGCCACAACACTCTTTTCCACTTTCGCGTAATGAATATGAAGCGGTATCGTCAACCTCGCATCAACCTCAGCCTTCTGCGGCCTTCCAAGAGCATCAAGCGGACCACACTTGCCAGACATGCGGACAAACATTTCGGCAGCCCTCCAAATTAAGGTGAGTGCGGGTTGAACTCAAAACCCTTTTCAATTACTAGCGCTGAGCTTTGATAGACTGCACTTGCGTACACACGAGACGTACAAATGTGAGCCTTGCGACGCATACTTTCGAGATAGCAAGGATGCCAAAAAGGATTTGGAGCGCCACAAGCAAACCAAGGCTCATCGAAGGAAACTTGGTCTACCGCTTGGTACATCGCAATTTGTGTGTCCGGTTGAATGGTGCGCAAAGAGTATGCCGCGCAGGGACAATTTGAACAGGCATATTAGATCTCAGCACCCAGACCGGGCACAATTGGAGTAGAAGTCAGCTGAGGGACAGAATCAAGACTTGGCAATACCTATGATGGTCTGACTAGCATGCGTTCAGCCTTCAATGTGATGTATCCGATGATGGCATCTCGTGAACCGGTCTCTCTAATGCGCTTTCAAGTTTGTCACATGCGCTGAACACTGCACAACTGAGAAACTAAAGGTTCAATTCGTCTATACTACACAAACTACAACTAAAGGGTATCGTCTCATCTAATCATAAACACCTAGTTCTTGAGCACGTAACGGTACCTGGGAAGGCCCTTCTCGAAGTCAACGATGACATCGTTGGCCTCAGACATAGGCCTGACCTGAACCCAAGCCTTGAGGTTGGTCTTCTTGGCCAACTCCAACATGTCGCGGATGTGCTGCCTGGTACCGATCAAGCTACCAGCGATCTTCAAGTTCTTGAAGATGAGGCCCATGGGGGAGAAAGAGGGCAATGGGTCGTCGGGGGCACCGAGCTGAACGAAAGTACCGTTGACGTCGAGGAGGTTGAGGTACTGGTCGAGAGGGAAACCACCAGAGATGGTGGAGATGATGATGTCGAGGCCGGCGGCGTTCTTGTTCATCCAGTCGGGGTCCTCGCCGGTAGCGATGAACTTGTCAGCACCGAGCTCAAGAGCATCGGCCTTCTTGCTGGAGGAACGGGAGATGGCGACAACCTCGTCACATCCGAGAGCCTTCGCGAAGAGGAGGGCGAAGTGGCCGAGACCACCGATACCGACGACACCGACACGCTTTCCTGGGCCGGCACCGTATGAGACGAGAGGGTTGTAGACAGTTACACCACCGCACATGAGGGGAGCGGCGTACTCTGAAGGAAGACCCTCGGGGATGGGGATGGCGAAGGCGGCAGGTCCGCGCCAGTTCTTTGCGTAACCACCCATGGCCTTGTCGCCAGTGCTGTACTTGGCGTTGTAGGTCATGACGAAGTTGTTGCAGTTGCTCTCCTGCTTGGTCTTGCAGGGCCTGCATCCCTCGCAGCAGTCGCTCTGAGCACCAACACCAACGCGGTCACCGACCTTGAGGTCCTTGACATCGTCTCCTACGCGGGTGACCTTTCCGATGATCTCGTGACCGACGACGAGAGGGTAGTCTGAGGGGCCCCAGCCGGAGCGGAGAGTGTGGATGTCGGAGCCGCAGACACCGCAGTGGCTGATTTCCATCTCGATGTCGGTAGACTCGAACTTCTTGGGGGTGTAGTCACCCCATTGCATGTTGCCATCGGCGGCGGAGGGGTCATGGGCGACCCATCCCTTGAAGTCTGGTGAGGAAGACATGATTGTTTGGTGACGTTACTGAATGGAGGGAGAGGGATGAACTGTTGTGAGAGACGTTAAGATGGTTTGATGAGATGCAGAATCTACTACTTCTCGTCAGTCTTATACCTATACACATTTTCTAGAAGTTTTCCAGCATTTGTAATACATCAACAGACGGTATGAGGTTGCCGTTTCGTTATCCTAGTGTTTTGCTCTTTCGCCGATCTACGCCGACGGCATCGGACCCACTTCGACGACGTTTTTGAGCCTCAAGCGGTGCGTGCACAGCATATCCGTTAAACCCGCCCTCACCGGTCCGATAAGGGTATGGGTCTGAGGCGACAAGACTGCAAAACTCTCGGACGAGGCTCGCGGTGAAGACGGCAATCTGGGGCTAGTCCCGTAACGTGTATCATCGATCTGCCGCGACACGTGGAACGCTCAAGGAGGAAGGCGTTACGCGCAGCGCTAATCTAGTTCCCGTTGACGTGTCGGGATTTAGAATCGGTTCGAATCTTTCTATGCTTCTAGACCTAGTCGTGTGGTTATGTCAACATCTCAGATATCTCCCTTTGCGTTGACCGCCAAGCTGAACATGCGCGCTTTCTTGAAGATACAAACCACCTCATGCCATTGTCTTATGCGCTTGGCCTAACTCCTCCGGTTTTTTGTATTCCTCAGAAAGGGCCGGGGTTGTCATGCACAAGATCGTATGACCGGAAGTTGCATCATAACAAGTTAGCATATCAGGGACCACATGAAGTAATCGCAGATCTCAAGGACAGACACTGCAGTCTTATTAGCGCGGAGATATTCCTTCCCATCATGCAAGTTTCTCCTTTATCCACTCAAGACCTTTTTTCAGCACATGCTTCGCTTCTTCGTACTCTTGCCACTGAAGATTCACTTCGGCCCTTTTACGTTCAAGCGGTTCGCGTCCTGGTATCGAAAGCCTTGCGTCATAGGTTTCGGCGCCATTATCGAGTTTGATCTTGATGATGCGCTCCTCTTCGACATGACCGCAGAGAAGATCCCATACATGTTTCGTCACTTTGTCGAGTAAGAGTGTTGGTTTGTTGTCTTCGTATCGACAGATAAGTGGCAGCTTGATGGAGAATCCGGAGGTGCGAGACCTCATCTCCAGGGGTAGTTTTCGTTCTCCGAAACCATGCTCGGAGCCATATAACGCCTCATCCAGGGCCTTGAGCGCACTTGTCCTCATAGACACTGTAAGCTTTTTTAAAGACATAGAAGATCAGCTAGCCAGAGTATGTGTGTAGAAGTTGAATGTGAGTTGCTTCGCGCAGATAACAAGGATCTTAGGTACTGTGTATTTTGCTTACCGGTAAGCAAGCCCAAGATTGCGCTGAAGTCACGCCTGCGGTTAGAGTGACCGTGCAAAAACCTTTTACAGTCGCTCAATGACAAGTCATATGTAGCTTGATGGAATCTTTGAAGGCGTGAGTTGGGCAGCGCCACGACTGCACTGAGAGGCGTTTTAGCTTAGCACTTCCAGGCGCTGCGTCCACGGGTATGTGAAGCATGGCAGTGAATTCTGGATACCAATATAAAGACATCAACAAATTTCACAAGCTGCCGATAATGTGGCGATGAAGAACAATGGCTATGTTGAATTGCAGCTGTTGCATCGTGAAGATTGTTGGTGTTGAAATCTCGGGAGACATGGGCCGAAGCGGAGATGACGTTTAGCGTCTTGGCAGTCGTCATATCCCAAACTCTCGGTGGCAGACGATTCTGGAGAAACCACGATACCCTTCTACAGTCCCAAATTCGAACGTGTGATTGTTTGGAGTTCACGCGGAAACGAGCATTATGGGGTCAGTATGGACGAAGTGCAGCGGGCAGCATTGTGAACATTTGAGCCCATGTCTTCAGATGATTGAGACAACGACCACGGCTACAAGACATTAGCAAAACCGCCTTCTTCAGTGTGTCTGGGTGATTGTATGGCCTTTGCGTGTGCGATAAACAGAGAGTCCAGGTTTCATACCATGTAAACCAGAACAAAGAAACCAATACTTATTTCATTGACAATGCATGCTCGATGGGGCTCACGCAAAATTTCAGAACACCATCTCTCCCCGTCAATAATCGGAGTGCGCGAGTCGA